CAACATATTCCTCTAGTCTCTTCTAGAAATGCAGTCCTAGTGCGTTTCACACCAAAAAAGCACTAGGCAACACATTTCTAATGTTGTGCAGTAAAGTTTACAATATATCAGTTATTTACAGTACATATGGCCCTTCTGTTTGCTAAAATGCATAAGTTAGTAATAATAAACTTTATTTTACATAGCACCTTTAAAGGTGGCTTGTCAAAGCGCTTTACTGAATGACAACAATAAATAAAAAGAATACACAAGATAAAACACAATAACAATATACAGAGGAGACTGTGGATGGTGGTACTAAGAAAAGCAGAGGGGTGAAGAATGGAACCAGTTCAGTAAAGGATTTGCTAAAGAAGAAGGTTTTGAATCTGGATTTGAAGGTGTTTAGAGAAGGTGTGTCTCGGATATCCTTCGGCAGAGAGTTCCAGAGCTTGGGGGCATAGCAGGAGAAGGCCCTGTCACCCATAAAATGTAGATGGGCTTGGGGGACAGGAGACCGGAATGAGAAGATCGAAGGTTGCAAGGTAGGGAGTAGGCCGATAATAGTTCAGACAGGTACTAAGGTGCCAAGCCATTTAGAGCCTTATACTGTAGGTGAGCATGAAGATTTTAAAGTCCACTTGAGGAAGCCAGTGCAAGGACTCCATGATAGGAGTAATGTGATCACTTGCACTAGACCTGGTCAGGATTCTGGCTGCTGAATTTTGGACATACTGCGGATTGTTCAAAGTAGATTTAGATACCCCAGCGAGTAGAGCATTAGAATAATCAATTCGAGAGAACACAGCTTTTCAGCCACAGTTACTGATAGCATAGGATGTAGTCTAGCAATATTTCTGAGGTGAAAAAAAGATGTTTTGACAATATGCTGCACATGTGGGTCGAATGTTAAGCCAGAATCGAATATCACCCCAATATTTTTCAATTTAGACTGAAGCTCAGGTACAGAACCATCTACATATACTGTAAGGTTACTTGATTTGCTTTACGATGTTGATGAGGGGGGGTGCCAATAAGCATGACTTTAGTCTTGTCATAGTTGAAGGAAATTTCGAGTCATCCAAGTTTTTATGTCAGAGATGCAATTAGAATAGAGACAGCCACATCAGTGTCAGCTTTGGTATGGATGTATATTTGAGTATCATCAGCGTAGAAATGATAGCTAAGGCCATGTGATCTTAAAAGCTGACCAAGTGGAAACATGTAAATGCTGAAGAGCAAGGGGCCCAGTATTGTGCCCCGAGGAACACCAGACTTAACAAGACCAATTTCAGACCTATACCCATTAAGAGAGATAAAGTGACAGCGATCAGTGAGGAAAGACTTGAACCATTTGAGAGCAGTCAGAAACTCCAAACAGTCTCCAGATGAGAAAGTAAGATATCATGGTCAACAGTGTCAAAAGCAGCACTGAGATCAAGAAGGATGAGTATAGAAGGAGAACCAGAATCAGAAGCTATTAGATCATTAGTGACTCTAATCAGGGCAGGTTCTGTGCTGTGAAGTTGATGGAAGCCAGATTGGTGGGGTTCAAAAAGGTTATTTGTCATGAGGTGGTTATGTAACTTAAATGTGATGGCAAATTCTAGAATTTTTGCAAGAAATGGTAACTTGGAGATGGAGAAGTTGGAGAGATAAATGATTTAAAGTTATTTGGAAAGCATGGCGCATTTTAAATTAACAATTCTGTTTACGGTTAACTACCACATTGTTAAAAATTCTAAACAGGTTTTTTGAAATTTGGCTGTATTTCGAAGCATTTACAACTCATTTTAAACTGTACTGCCCTTTTTTAACTTTCATTAGGTTTCACATAAAATTCAAATGAATAAAGTTTAGACCTGAGAGTATGTACATATTTGATTTTCATATAGGCATTGATCATAGATTCCCTTACAGAAAATAGTACACCCATGTGCACCTAATTTCCGACTTTTCAGAATGCATTTCTACATTTGCATTTGCATCTACATTTCTTACTGGCAAATTTGTTGAGACAGTAATTGACAGCTGGAACCTCAAAGCATTCTGGGGGAAAACAGTACTACCAAATGAAGCTAAGATATGCTTGAAATACATTTTGTGCTTGAACAATAATACAAAAAGATAGTTAATAAGTAAAATATTCTCGTAACTTTATTAATGGAATAAAACATTGTGCCTACTGTTTCCTGGACTTCTTGGAGAATAAATGACAGCATGCAAGCTGAATTTGGGGAGAATGTTCATACATTAAAAAAACACCATTAGGTGCTGATACAATTAAGAAACATAATCAAAATATTTATTTTTATACATTCCTATCCTAACAATTATTTTTTTCCACTGCCATCTGACATCATCCTGGAGGATGCTGAAGTCTAACTGTACTCACATGGGCTTGACAATGAGATTCACAACATTATAGAGTTTATTTTACCCTCAATTTTAATTACTTAATTAAGCAAATTATTGGTGTAAGAATCCTTTTCTAAACTATTGAACTCCTTTACATGTTGTTTAAAGAGAGGAAAAACCTTCTACATAATAGGCCTCCAGGAGCGTAGACCATGTAATAGAAGTGCTTGTTTTTCAAGCAGCTGCGAAGCAATGTCAGTCAGACTGTGGCCTTGATTACAGATTTATGCTGCCAGAATCAAGCTGGAATCTTAGAAGGTAGTGTACTGGTAGTTTAAATTTTAAAAATACGTCAGAATGCATACAATATTGCCAACTCGTTACTTAGATGCTCGTCCTATTACTATCCACAATATTATTATTTTTTTACTGTTTCTGACCCTTGCCTTTAATTAATGAAAAAGTAAATTATTATTTTTGGTTTAATTAAACAAATAGAGTTCCCAGCTGAGAGAAAGCTAAAAGGCCACTTGATCATCAAGTACTAGACTGTGCAGATCCAACATGATGTTCAAAGTGGAAACTGTACTGTGCATTACTATGAACATACAGTAGTGTGAGATTTTATTGAATGGGTGCAGTGCTTGCCAAAGGCAAGGACACAAGCATGCTCGCTAGCACACTCTCCAGTGATTTATCATTTCACACCATGCCACTAATCTGCTGAAAAAGAAAATACTGTCTCAGTACTGGATTGCTGTAATAGGTTTAGGAGTCTTGGATGTCTGTAACTGTAGTCATACTTTGTGTTGTTTTTCAGGGCTTCTTAATACTTTGTAGTTCTCGATTCTGATTCCTTGTGACTTGCCCTGAGAGGTCATTCCAAATCTCAGTGACTGAGAGTTGTTAATTTCTGTTCACTCTCTCAATTTCTCTAGCTAGACATTTGTTCTGGAGACCTATGGTCCTTTGGGTATAGAGACATTCTCCAAGAAGCCATAGGAACAAATGTTTTGTAAGCAATGAAACCTAATTTCCTGTTTAATAAATTAGCAAACTGTATTCTATTCAAATAGTTTTTCAGTTGTAAACAGCACATATCTTTTGATTCGAGTGCCATTGCTGACCTCCTAACAATCAAACACAAAAAATACAGAAAAAAGTAATGAGAAAAATAGACAGATGCTAAATGTTCTGTGTCCTTTATTATCCTTTTTTTTTTATAAAATGTACACACCTAATTACACAAAGACACAACAGTATATTTAAAGTGTACATGTACTGTACTACTCTTGTATTTCCTACACTGGTGCTAATAGAGCAACCTTCACATGCCTCTACCAATCCATCTCTACACCAGAATAGATTTATGATTTCCAAACAAAATGTGCTGTGTTCTTCCAAGTCTATTTGCATCTCTGTAACTTTCACAATATTCACAGAAATTATCCTTTAAAACGTGAAGACATTGTAATGCAACTTTGTATCTTTGCATTAATATCTTTCCCATTTTAATGTAGCTTCCTCTAATTTTGAATATAATGAAGTAAGTAAAAGGCTGGTATTATGAGAGGCAATCTGGAGGTAGAGGATATGGAATAAAGCATGAGGCAAGTACTACAGTATGTTTCAGATATCTGTGTTCCTCTATATAAGCACTCTACTGTACAGTATATACAGTACAGAGAAAATTAGACGTTTGGAGATAAAAAGGCCCAGGATGGAAACAGAAAGGTGTAGGTAATAACTGAAAGTTGTAAAAGGAGTTTAAAAGAAAATACAGTGCAAAAATGAGCTAAAAGTTCATATTAATATCCCTTTTAAGAATCAGGAATGCAGAATTCGAATGAAACATTTCATAACATGTTTTCTAAAGTTGATACTTTGCACTAGAAGGAAATTAAATCAGTGCTTCTTATTTTGAAATACGAAAACTCTTTACAGCTATTGATTTCTTCCATCTCTGTTTGTGCATAAATTTATTATGTGGGTTTGAGTTTTTGTTTCAGGTTATAATGATTTAACATTTACTGAACATCAGCATTAGTTTGTAGAAAATAAGCTTATGTAACCAGTCCAATAATGTTTTGGACAATATACCAACAACAGACATAATAACACACAAGAAGTAAATAGCTTAAAAATAAATTTATACATGTTAAACACATAGTGCTTAATATCCACATATAATTCCCACGCCTCAGTTTACTAATAGACTTTGAATAAGAAAAACTGAGTCTTTACCTTCCAGTAGGCATCTCCATTGCAAAACATTATGGGAAGGTCAAGCCTATATCACTAATCAGATCTCCAGTTTAAATATTATACTGTATTTTGCCACAGTATATGCCAATAACATGAACCTAAGTCTTCTGTATTCATTGTAATGTTTAGTGACACCATGACAGAAGGAATAAATACTGAAGTCACTTTCAGATCTAAATAGGCCAACTTACCATACCCCTAGGGTCTCTAGATGTACATTCTTAGAGCTTAATGGATGAGAAATCACTTCATGTCCAAAATCCAATATTTAGTACATTTATAGAATCTATTGAAACCAACAAGGGATGCCTCCTGTATGTGATATAATTGATACATTTAATAAGAAACTGAATGAGATCTGAAAGTTTAAAACATTTAACATAGTTACAAAAAAAGAATTAAAATCAGAACTTAGTTTTATTACATTTTGTAACTTATACCATTTGTTCCCTTGTCCTCTTTGATTTACCCAGATAGCTGGAGAGAAATGAGTGAGGCATTTTGTCAACACTTAACAGAAAAGGATAAAATAATGAGAATGAGAACATTTCTGGTTATTTTGATATAACGTTTGCATCAATGTAACAAATTATAAATCTTTATTGTTGAAAATGGTCTGTCTCTGAAATGTGCATGAAAACAGGAGCCAATTTAGCTTAAACTTTAAACAACCAAAAAATAACAGATGATATGTTGTGGTTAAGGCCTAGATTCTTGATATTCATCTTTATGACTAAAGCAGGGTTTCTCGTAATTTAATTTCTTACCATTTACATCCAATTTCACATACAGTATTTCGTGCTCAGTTAATTTTTTGTAAATCCTGTACAAGTTCATTATATACTTGCAAAAACAACTATGGCTTTATCTCAAATTATATCCACCATGTTGCAGCAGTGCCTGCAAATCAAATTCTGCTCTTAAAAGCATTGTGTACCCTGTGAAGTACATTCCTATGAAGGGAATCTGCAACAACTTTCACATAGACTGCTTTGAAGTGCGATGTCAAAATAAAATCACAGTGTGTATGTGTTTGGGTTAGGCAGCAATGGAAGTACTGGACTGTATGTAAAGGTAATCTATTTTACAGTTTTACAGATTTGTTCAGAAAAGGCTTCTCAAAGCTGCACTACTGGATGTTAATTTCAGAGCTGTTACCCAGAATATTTGTTTTTTAATTGGCAGGGTGTGAATTTACTTTGCTTTGCTTGTATTCCTTTTCTGAACTTGTCTGAAACAGTTTTTTTACGGGGATACTTGGTACAGTACCTTGACAAAACCATGGAATAAAGTTCCAATGAAGAGTCATTTGCTGTAACGGGTAGGTATTTTCTTAACATCAAATGGAATGTACAGCTGGGCACAACAGTTTCAAAAATGTTGTTGCAAATAATAACATTTAAATTAAATAACCTTGCTTTCCTTTTTTTTCAACAACAAAAAAAAATATTGTGCTACTGTACCTTGGGATTAAGAATTTAGAATGGGATAGAAAACAAAAGATCAATAAATACATACAGCAAAATTATATTATGTTTTTAAAAAGTTAATACTGTACATACAGTATGCCAAAGACAGTGAAACACAGATAACAAAATATTTCCATGTGAATTGGCTGATAACAAATTAATCAACGCCAAGGAGACACTATTCACAACATCTCACGAACATTCTACATCCCTGAATCCACATTTCCCAATTGATGACTTAGAAAGTAGAGTATGTTAAGATTTATGTTAAAAAATGACCAAGAAAGAGCAAGCTGAGCTTTCTTTAAAGGAAGAAAATGTGGCAGGAAGGCATGCCAAGGTCAAGAACCACAACAGAAGCAGAGTAAGGAAGGAAAAAAATGAACATTCATTGACAAAGATTCTTTTCTAATATTTTTTAGACCCTTAATAGTCAGTACTTTAAAATCCTTTCAGAATGTTGCACAATTATAATGAAAGTATTACAACTGACAAAGAAATCTAGGCTTGTTTATATCATTAAATGCTCATTAATCAAAGAAACAAAAGCTGGAACAAAAGCTTCCAAAAGCATATTTTATGACATGCTACTTGAAGGCATTTTTCACATGACTGAAAGTTCAATTTGATCAACCAATTCACTGGATTAGATGCTTAGGAGAATGTCTTACTGTTATCAGTGAAGAGAACAATAACATTAGAATTTGGGGCTTTTTTTTGCTAAATTGTTTTATGTGTAGCGTTTTTAAGGGGGTGTACTGATATGGGTGAGGGCAATGGAAGAGTTTATGGTAATGGAACTTAACATCCTTAGTTGAAAATGAACAGGGACAGGACAAACAGAATCTTCAGAATCTCAGATGTTGCAATGCAATATAATCAATTACTGTACACCCGAAGTTTCCCTTTTACCACAAAGTCCCACTTCATTCAATTCTAATTGGTCTTGTTTCCATCTGAGTACTTCTATGGTCCTTCTTTGCTTTTAGTTTGCTTTAAGGACTGTGCAGTGATACTACAGTAAATACTAAAATCATGTTGTTCTAACTTTTATGATCTAACATAGTTACTGTAGTTGCAGAGCATGTATGTTAAAATAACAGGAAAGCAAAGTTATCCTGAAATGTCATGGGAAACAGGTGAAAATGTGAAACTACTATGCAAATTTACCTGGGGTATTTCCATTAGCATAAATTGGAGAAGCCCCCACTAACCAAGCAGCTGACACTATAAAATATTGTTCAACTTCCAGGTATTTCATTTCAAAACAGGAAGCTACAGTGCAAACTTTCCACACTTTTTTTCTGTGAGCCATAATAATGCACCACAGGAACAAGCCAAATAAATCCCTCTCCTTTATACTCTATGGTGCCTTATCTTTTCAGTGGGTATTTTGCATAGTAATGTTCACCAGGACAGTAGTAAAGTATGATTAGTCTCAGTGAAAAGTGTCCAGGTACCCTTAAAAATAAAGGTACAGTATATTCAACTACTGTATACATACTGTACACTGTCATGGGAATCTTATTAAGGTATTTCTTCCAGAGAGTGAATACAATCTTGTGATCACTAGTTTAATTTCCGAAAGAGCTCGCTCAGATTAAAACTAATTGTATTTTGTGTTCCCTCGGTAACAGAAACCACGTGCTTTGCTAAACGTGTCCTTGGGTCTTGAGGCTAAGTGTCAAATCATTATGACTATTAAGTGTATTGATGCATAGAGTACATGTAATTACTATTTTTACAATATGATTCTACAGTGTTGCCACTATACAGTGGAGTAAATACAGTTTGCTTGCATTTGGAAATTTTCTCATGAGGATATTGTTTAGGATTTAAAAAAATCAGAAATAAAGCTTAGCCTTCAGGAGCGCAGTGAGGGACTCTTGGTACGGCTTGTCTCTGTGAACTCTATCTGTATGAATAAGAGGTTACACAGTTGAGTTTACCCAAAACAAAGTTGTATTTTATCTGGTTAAGTGTGGAGTAACAATCAGTTGTTTTCAGAGTGAGTTTTTCTTCTCTGGATATCACAGTATTCACAAGCAGCTTTGGGCCAGAATGTGTAAAGGCACTAATGGGTGATTTCTGACGTTGCTTTAGTAAAATAATTAGATACCTATGTTCAGTGCATTTGTAATCTCTTATATAAAACTTTTCCTAGACTGGGTTCACACATTAACTTAGCATTTAACAATGTCTGTAAATCATATAAGGTCAGAGCCTTGATTGCTATTGGTACTTGTGTGGTAAGAGTAGTTTAAAGGAGGGTTTCAAGATGGCATATTAAACCTTTTATTGTTTAATTGCATGAAAAAAATGATTTTGTCCCCCTAATGTGATATGAAACATGAATTTGAAGATAATAAAGAGAAATATTCGATACAATTCAGAGAACTTTGGGAGGGTAAAAGCAAAGGATAACAGAGGCGCTTACTGTAATTCCATTTGGAGATCGGGTTGATCAAATTGAAATCCAAATCATGAATGGTGCTATGCTCAGATTCACAAATGTCAGTTTTAATTTTCTCTATCTTAAAATTTATATAATTCTTTGACATAAAGGTGCAAAACATAAACTAAAAACCTTTTTGGAACAAGGGCCAATGCATTATTGCAATAAAGAAACATTAGACAACTGAGAACTTTACAGTTGAACAAGCTTATTTGCATAATATATATATACTGTATATCCCAGCACATTACTGAGCTATTAAAAAGTATGTATGAAGTTGTAAGTTCTATTCAGAATTTGCCAAAGAATCCTGGGATCCAGCCGTTAAGAGACTCCTGGTAGCCCTCATGTTATATGACATTTTCAAACAGCTGCATTGATCTCATTATATTTTCATCCTGTGGGGAAAGAGAATGCCAAATTAAAACAACGCAGAATGGAAATCTAGAACACTTAATATCACAAGTACAATACATCAGTGTCAAGAGATGAATATTAACACATTTCAGTTAGCGAGCTGATAAAATCAAATTACTGTATTTCTTTAACAAGCAGTCAAACACATTGAGAGGACATAATAGAATAAAACTGCCTTGGTCTTCAGTAAACATTGCACACACCTAGTGTAACCCATGGTTTTGAAGCCTTCTGACTGGGCACATATCAATTCTATTTACTCAAGTGTATTCTATGAGGCCTTGTTACCAGTCGCACTGGAATTTGGTTATCTAAACTAATTGAAGATGTCGGCTAATTAAGAAATAAAAAGTGTGCTACTTACAAATCCCTTAAGAAAAAAAATCTGGGAAAGTAAAGGTGGAGACTCAGAACTTGTTTACCTATCAACAATCCCAGTAATTAGCTACAGTAAGTAAGTAGCATTGTGATTGGATGAAAGCTTATTAATATTTATACTACTTCAAAATCCCATAACAGCTGGTATTCTAATTCAGAAACCTGAGGACATGCCAAATGGTTCTCAGGCCTCAATATAGCATAGTGTTAAGAGGTTAGAGTGGGGAGCTGCTTCAACATGTGACCTGCAAAGCACCACACAGAGTTTAATTCTAAAATGAGTGGAAGTAAAATGAAAAAAAAAAAGAAGGGCCTTCTTCAGTTGTATAAACCTTTAACATTCAAAACAAAACCGTTTTTTTTTCTTTTTACTTTTTCAGCATACAATTAATCTTTGTCTGTCCCTTTGTAATATGGTACAGTATGTTCATGATTGGGTGTCATGAAGCGGGAAGAAATGGCACTTACGTTTTGGCAGCAATCAATAAATTCATCTATGGTAACCACTCCATCCTTATTTTTGTCCATTTTCTGTTAGGATTGGAAAAGAAATCAAAATACTGCATGCGTTTTTTTTCTTCAATTTTATCACTTTACCACAAAGACTCATCTTTTTTCTAATTTTGCTAAGAAAGTGGTTTTGTTTCTTTTCTTCTAAAACAATGGTCTATAATAGTACTACAGTGTTTAAATTAAGGTATGATCCTAGTGTCTACTATCAATGTGGAAAGCAAAACAATACCATGCGGTATTGGTATTGTATTACAGCAGATAATATCTAAAAATCTGCCTCTGGTGTGATTTTAGTGGTGGCATAATGATGAAAGGTGATGATGCAATTTTCAATCACCAATACTGTACCTAATTGTCCTTAATTTTGTACTAAGCAGCTACGTGGTAGAATCACTTAAAACCAGAGGTTTGAATAGGCTTTTTTACCCAAAGTATATTAAAACCATGGCACACACAACAAAGACAACAGGCATTAAGAAATTAAACTATGGCTCAGGTCACTTAATTAATTTTACAGTATACACTTCAAAATAATGTGAAAACAAATATGTGAATATTTAGTAGAATGGACAATTACTGCATATAGTAATTATTAATTGGGGAATGGGTAATTAAGTTAATTATGGGTAATTATTATTAGGTATTATTAACAGAAAGGAACAAGTCTAGATGTGAAATGTATGCTATCCATAGTTATTATTTTAGAATAAAGTGTTTTCCCATTCTCTGTCAAATGCAGTTTATTGGAAATATTAACATGTGCTGAGTCTGTTACATTTCTGTCATAACTGATAAGTTATTGATGACAGATTACTTTTTTAAAGTTAATACCCATTCACTAGAAGCAATCCTATGTACAAGGTTTGAACAAGTCTCAGACCTCTCAGTCTCAGTTTTTAAAAGAAAAGTGTGATATTGTCATTTTCTCAGAATGTGGTTTTCAAGGCTACAGAATTCCTGTTTAAGGGATACATTACATAGTTAGCTTTTTAAATGACCTAGTCCTAGCTATTTATCAATAATGAATACAATCTATAAACAGGTATTAAAGTATTAAACTTTGTTTTGCATTAAAAAAACTGTTAGAAATGGTGATAATTTAATCATGTATTAATAATGCTGCTCAGATCAAACATGTAGCAATACCACAGTGAAAAAGATAACATACTTTAAGTTACACATTTCATATTAAATATTAGCATAAATATATTGTATGCTTTACCTGGAAGAATATCTCCACATGCTGCCTAGGTGTTTCTTCTTTCAGGATTGGGTATGTGCATTTGCCCATCATATCATATATAGCTTTCATAATGTCTAGCATTTCCTGCCAAACAGATCGAGTCATTAGAATCATTATTGGCTTTTTAGTCCATTAAGCTGTTATGCTGCTTCCCCACCCATTTTGGAGAATTGGAGAAAAACAAATTACCATCAAGAAAACCATAGTGCAATTCTGTTTAAAAAGGCATAAATAAATAACATCTTAAAATTCTTCTGTGTACTTTTTTCAGTCAACCATTCCTCTACTGCAATTTTCCATTAATTTGGGCACACTTAAAAGTACTCATTGGAAGATATTAAGCAGGTAAGAATTAATGCAGTTGAAAAGATCACTATAATTCCTTTAAGACTGAAAATGGAAGAGGTATTTTAAAATATTTTAAACCTTTTTTCAAAGGACAATTATTATTGCTGTTGCAGTAAAACATAGTCAATATTGAAAATGTTCAAATTACCAAGTCATTTTTAAAAATAGATTTCCTATTTATTATTTCACTTTGGCAGGTTCATTGAGTAAGTCCAGAAAACCAATATCTCAAGCATAGTGCCATCACCTATTTCTTTTGTAAAAGAGAAGACAACCACACTTTTGTGAGGTGTGTTCAAATATCAAATATAGCAGAAAGGTCATTTGTTGTTTTTTTATCTGTAGCATTCAATCTGGTCAATCCATTAAAGAAAAGGTACAAATATGGGTGCAAGTAATCTCAAATCCTTTATACACTGATGTATGATATGGTAAACATATAATGAATTAATTCTGATATTATATTGCTGGCATCTTCCTTTTTTAAGATTTAAAGCATGATAAAATAATTAAATGAAAGATGCTACACGTGATCGGACACATCATACGAGTCTGGTCTTCAGCAAAGTAAGAATGCCTAAAGAAGTAGATCAAGAGCTGGACTGCATTATGGCAAAAAATCGTTAAAATAACTTAAGTTATAGCTTTCAGATTTTATTTCTTCTTAGATGTCAGCAGCAGTATGTTAAACTCCACTCTATATTTCACATGGAGCCACTGGCTGTGTAATTTACAGAGGTAAGGAGTAATTTGCTGATGCAGACCCCTTTGAGAAAAGACACAAACCATAGAATGGCCTACATTCACGAGTGACCTCAGATAAAGGCAACAGCAAAATGCATAAATAGCTATAATTCCAAAGATTTGTGTAACAGTTTTCATCCAAAACTATACCATAGTGCTTAACAGTATATTCTGCATATAAGAGGACTCAAGTAACTCAGCCAGATGAGTTTATCAAAATGATAAAGGGTGTTACCCTGATGTCCTCGCCGGACTTCCCCCTGGCCTGTACCAACCATGGCCTTCTAATAATCCCCATCTGTGAATTGGCTTCGTCACTCTGTTCTCCTCCACACTGTGAGCTGGTGTGTGGTGAGCATACTGGCGCACTATGGCTGTCGTCACATTATCCAGAATTAGTGGTGGTGAAGGGGAGTCCCCATTACCTGTGAAATGCTCTGAGTGGAGTGTCCAGAAAAGTGCTGTACTGTATACAGTAAACATAAAGAATTACACAGCACATGAAGCGTATCTAATGGTAAAATTGAGGGTGACTAGATTTGACAAAGGCTGAATTTGAATGTACTGTACAGTAGCTTGGACTGCGGAGTTAGCAGTCTTTCTCTTACGAGTTGAGTCTTGGGCTCTGCACTAACCACAGATTAACCTGCCATGATACAGTATGTGACAATTGCTCATGTGCCGAAATCACCACAAAGACATAGCAAATGAAGCACAAGTAAAATCCACCTGATTAGACAAATTCTTCATTCTTAACATGCATCCTTACCTCTTTTGTTATATATCCATCTTTATTGATATCATACAAGTTAAATGCCCAGTTCAGCTTCTCATGTACTGAGCCCCGGAGCAGAATGGAAAGACCCATGACAAAGTCCTGCAGCAAATAAGATATATTTAATCTTAAAACATACTGTATAATATAGGCTGGTACAAATTGGAAGATGTATATTTGAAAATGTAACTGTATAAATGGAATTAAATTATTTGTTAACCTTAAGTAAAGCCTTAAGTATACTTTATTGATATACTGTTCTTTCTGGATTAGAATCTTATATAGAGTAAGTACTGAATATACTGTATACACATGTATAAAACATTTTAAGAATATCAGATTCTATTAGAATAAATTCCTTATTCATATATAAAACTTTCCTATCTTAAAATATTATATTTTGTAATCCTAATATTAAACATATCATGCATTTAGCTGTGAGTTTTCATTTTGTTCATGGCATTAATGGGCGCTCAAAAACCCAGACTAATAACAACAAAACAGTTCCTAGCTTCATTGCGTTGATGGCAAAGATTCATGTGAATGTTATTTCATGTCAGTGTTGCCTGGATTAATCCATTATGTTGTGTATTAAGATAACACTTAACACAAAAAAACTAGCACATCATAAAACTATGAAAGGAGCAAGTAAAAACATTTCTTAAAATTCAGTTTTTATTATTATATTTGCATTAGTTTTATAACTAAAAGCTGGAAAGACAATCTTAACTGCAAATAAATCTATGGAATGAATTAATTAAATGTGCCAGAAAATCCTCTTTGAAATTGTGCATATATTTGTTTAGATTAATACACTTTAATTATTACATCATATTATGTTGTACAGTATTTTTGAAATATTTTTTTCTTTCCCTTTTTGGAAAATAGGTTCACTTACTACAACATCCATGAAGAGAACAACCAACAAGAGCAAACCCTTAAAAGAATATCTAAGTGGTTATGGAAGTAGAGAGATAAATCTGTGTTACTTGTAAACAAGCTTTTGTAGGAATCTAGGAATTCTTATTTTGAGCTTATCTGTGGAAAATCAGGCTCAGTATGAGTTTTTTATAGTTATATAAGAATACTTTGAAATGACCATCAATTTCAAAATATTAACAGATTAGTGGTATAGTTTCTATTATATGTGTTCAGTACATTATAATACCTGGCCTTTTGAAAACCATTATCTTTTTCATTGCCAAGCTAACATCATGTTATTATTACTAAAATAATTCACTGAATTACAGTAGCTGTTAAAGAATTTGTCAGAAAATAAATAGTGAAAGGGTTCGTCAGCCATTCCAGTCACCTTTAATTATTTACAGGTTGAAATGCCTGATACAGTCTGACAGGAATTTGCTTCCTATAGCTCTTGGCAGAAGAAAAGCTGGTACACATCTCATAGACAGTAGTGTGTACCATGCAGAGAGACAGAGTTGACTTCTCCAGCACATAAACATCCTTGTTTACCAGAAGAAAATGTCTCACATGTCATAGAACCAGCCTGATAGGCTACATTATTGATGTTTAATTTCTTGAACCAAACTTTATAATAGCATCCAATTTTAATCTCAAGACAGCCTGTGTCATGTAGGGCTGTACTGCACTTTAAAAATCAGACAAGATCCTATCAGGAACAGGAATGTATTGTATTTCAGGGTATATTTGGAAATTCAGATATAAAAATGAATAATCAATTTAAACATTGTCATTATTTTTTATAAAGAATGTATATGTTTAAATATAGTATATTAGTTATTCATAGTCTGGATCATTAAGTTTATTACCCATAACTGTTTTTTTAGTTGCTTATGTGATCCCCCTACAAATGATTCATAAATCCTCACTGGTTTATTATTGTATAAATAATTAATCTGTAAGTCATTTTTACAACCTATTTAAGTAGGTTTAGTAAGTGAGCTACTGTACCATTTACAGTGCCTTGCTAAACCATAAAGAACCTTCAAAGTATTCAAAATGGTGTTCCAAAATGCATATACTGTACAGTGCTGTACATTTTTAAACTAAATTATTTATTTGAAACCTGAATCCTCGTACTGAATTATTCTAAGAGTAAGATAAGCTGCAGAGAAAAAAAACGATGTACAGTATGTTGATTGCATAAGTATTCATACATTTTGAACACCATAATATGTGGAAGAACTTTTGGCAGTCCCAAGTCATTTTGGATACATTTTGGTTTATTATAACAACTTTGCACGGTGGCTTGGTGCAAATTTTACCCACTCTTTTTGGCAGTTTTACTCATGCTCTCTCAAGTCATTTGGAGAATCACCGACGAACAGTAATCTAAATCTCAAATTATTATTACTAATAGGATTAAGTCAGGGATTTTCACATTTTTCCACTCCAGTGTAGCTTTGTCCTTGCTGAAAAGTGATTTTTTTGCCCAGGTTTTAAATTTGTAGCAGGCTGAAAAAGATTTGCTTCTAGTATTTACCAGTACATTTTCCAGAAACTTTTTCCTTCAGTTCTAACAATCTTTCCAATCCCTTCTGAGGAGAAACATTCCCATATCCTGAAGCTGTCACTTCCCCATTTGTGACTGTAGGGATGGCATAGATGTTGGTGTTGGGTGCACAACAAACATAACTCTTGGTATTTATATAAAAAAATCAGTTTGGACTAAACTGACTACAAAATGTTTTCCATATTTTTGCAGGATCACTCAGGTGCATTTTCGCAAACTCATTGTGAGATATGAGATAGATTTTTCTCTCTGCTACACAGGCCAACTTTGTGGAGTGAGAGGGATGCTGTTGACTGATACACATTTCCCATTCAGTCATTGAACTTTCTAGCTCTTCCAAAGTTGTAGTTGGCCTCACACTGGCATCCCTCTGGGCAATCTGCTTACCCAGCTTCTCAGTTTGGAGGGACAGTTTAATCTAGGCTTTGTCTGGCTGATACGATGCACCTTCTGTTTTTTTTATGATTGAACAGACTGTTCTCATAGAAGTGTTGTTAAGGCTTCAATATTTTTGGTTCACATCTCCTGATCTCCTGATCTGTTCTCAATATGAATGACTGGCATTGAAAGCTCCTCAGACTTCATATTTGAGTCTTTGTTTAAGATTTACTACCTGACCAAGAAAACCAGTAGATGCCAGTGTTCTTATTGTGAAATCATGAGAACCACTATAACTGCACAAAGACTGGGGCCACTAACTGAGAAAGTCTGTGAACCGAAAATAATTTAGGTTTGCCAGAGCAAAGTGTTTGAATACTTACGCAAACATGACTTTTCCATGTTTGTTTCATGATAATTATAATTATTCAAATTATTTATTTACTTTTTTGTTATTTGCTTTGAGAGGAGTAGGTTATGTAGATAAAAAATGTTCATATTTAAAAGTGTCATGACTCTTATGTTTTAAAGCAACAATATAAGCAAGCTGTTCAAGACACTGTATAATATATCATCCTCATTCAAAGTTATAGTTCTGTGAAAAAGTTAGATTTCTGAGATACAGATATGCTTTACAGACCAATTCCATTCTTTTGTCCCTTCTTCTGTAGAGCTGTATTCCAAAATGGCACACAAAGCACTACCCTTGATTGAAAGGCTATGAATATGTCAAAAAACACATAAGAACATTTAAAACCTACTGTAACCAAATATGTTACTAGCAAAGTAAAACACTAATCGCAGAGAAAGAAATATATAAAGAAAAAAAGTGGTCTACAATGAGCAGTGGAGCATAAACAGTAGAAAGTTGTCCTATTAATGTTTGAGACATTTCAAATAAAATATTGAATTTAAATGGCCTTTATAGTTCTATTTATTACATTATCTTGAATGATATTGATAAAGATTAAGGAGTCAAGCAAAAGTATGGAGTATGCACAAACAAGGAGAACAGATTAGCCAGATTTCCATTATAATTCACAATGAAAAAAAAATATTATAACTGAACACAAAATTGATTCATACATTAATCCAAGTAACTCCTGACCTGGGGTGTCACAATTGTTTCTAGTTTTTATATAATCTCAAACTGTTATGTCTTATTGACACCACTTAGTCTGATAAGGAGTCCAATCTCCTGTTTTCCAGGTCTTAATCCATGTTTATTGTAAAGTGCTTCTAAATTTTACAGGCACCCAGCAATAGACTAGTAGTTTCCTACTCCTAATGAATTCTATCAATGGTTATATTGTCTGTTTAACTATTTTTTCCAACAATTAACTACCAATTAATTTAACATACTATGCTACAATGAAGAATAGCAATGTCTTCTTAATCAAAAATATTTGAAGTAGAAACTAATTGGTTCTAGTACAACTCAAAAAGATAAACACTGGAATAGCGTCTTAATTTAAACTTCGCTTCATTGATACAAAAGTACCAATTCAATGCCTAGACATAATAAAGCATGCACATTGTTTTAATAAGGCAAGATTGTTTTCCATTAAAAAAAAATACCTGAATGAGAAATGTAATCTTTGCATACAGTTAGTCAGCCTTATCTTAACTTATCTAAGGTACTGTACAGTATGTTATTATGTTTTCTCAACAGTGCATACCATAGCATGGTTATACAAGCCAGTAAATCATATTTGTGCTGGGAATAAATAAAATAATCAAATAAATCTTTGAGGTTTATTACAACTAAAATGAAATGAAATATGTCTGGCTTACCTCAAAACTCACAGTACCATTGTGATCTGTGTCAAATGCATTGAACAGAAAATGTGCATATGTCGTTGCATCTGAAACAACAAAGAAAGGATGTTTACTATTTTTTTCCAGATTTTTTATTCTCAAGCAGGAAGCTGTTTCCACCATTCTTGAGAGCTAGTAATGTCATAAAAAACGTTTTTTTTCCCCCCAATTTGCAGCTTCTTCCAGCTTCCCTCTGAAATTATGTTCATAAGGTTTTTTTAAATTGATGAGTTTTGTCTCTTATAATTTCCATAATGGAATCACATGAGAGCATATCCATCAATTTCAGTCTTAGAATACCCAACATACACACTTCACAGGCTCAAGAGAACCAGCTTCAGGAACCCAAACTTTACTTCTGGGGCTATACCATTGAGTCTTTTAAAAACAAATCCCCATAATGTAAACAGATTCTACATCTGTTATGGTAGCTGTGACAAATACAAAACTGGCTCAAGACATCTGTTTTGGAGATTAAAATAGATTTTAACAACAGGTACTGTATATGTCCTTGTTGAAACTGAGGCAATTTAATGCTTTGCATTATAATCTAATTCTCTTGTTATTAACACACACATCATATATTAGTCCCACTCTTAATTAGACTAGTTACTTTGGAAACTGCAGTTAATTAATTTGTTGTTCTCAATATGTAGTGTTGATGAATACAGAGTTCATTAATATGTATGATAATATTAATACGGAGTACTGACAAGCTGCAATACAATACGATAATTATAAATGAAAAACAACTGTATTACAGCTAAACTTTCTTTACAAATATTTAAGACCCAGTGAAAGTTGTAATGAGCCTAGATATTTACAGTGACAAAATCAATGTTTTACCAATTTTTTATTTTCAGAACATAATTCAAATAGAGAGAAAAAGAAGAGCGATACTGTTGTTTCCCAACAAAAAACCCTGGAAACAGGATCACAGCAACAAAAGGACAAGTTACATTTTTGCATCACTTAATGAAAATGTGAGATTTCCTGTTATTTCTTTAGTGATATAGTGAAAGATAGAACAGGATCAACAGGTCTGGTACAGAAGGAAAAGAGATTAAATATATAAACATAAAGAATTTTAGTCCTTGTACTTTAATTTTTATCAAATTTAATGACCATGTCAGTAGCAGAATTCCATGTCTTTACTGTGCCCTCCCCAGGTACCAAGAAACATTGGAAGGCTCGCTAAAAGTAATGTCTAAAACACTTCAAGATCCAACAATGCCAATGGTTAAGTCAAGGGAAACCTAAGGTTCCTAATGGTGACTTACCTTGATGACCTGATCTGTTTAAGCAGCTTTGTAAGAACATGATTTGAGTTGTCATTTAAACGGGACCTCTGGTTGTCAGCACCAAATGTGAGTATGAAATACTTGTTTAGGGTAGTGTACACTGACAATTAAGAATGGGACTAGTGAGAAGTTTCACATGATTGTGTTTAAAATTACTGTACATTTGATGATTCAGTTTTTTGAAAGCTGAATTTATATTGTACCACACATTATCCTAGGAAATTTCTCCATCTGCAATATTCATATCTCTATCCCAAATAGTAGCAGTAGTACTATGTACTACATACAGTATAGTAATATACTGTACATTTTGTTTTAATTCTGATTCAAGCAACAAATAATTAAGATATTATTTTTAGTTTAGAGTTTGATTATGAAAAATAGATTTCAAACGTACAGTACTGTAGTGGCTTGAAAACACTATATGCTGAAATACATTTTCAGCATATCTGTGGATATCATGTCATGTGATTCACATGTGTGGCATGTCAGGAATCGTAGTAGTAACTACTGCTAAAGGTTCACATTTGTATCTAAAGAAAAATATAAAATATACTATCCTTTTGCCCCTGAAAAGCAAAAAGGTGATCTACTGTATACTGTAGCAAATTAAACAGTACACTGAGTGAATAAAAAGCCTTTCTCCTCACAGGAGACCATAGGTACATATTGCAAAATTGGAAACCACGCTATGTCTGATAGAAAATAAATCTCTTTATATTTCCAAAATGGGGAAAATAAATAAGTGTTAACTGTAAGGAGTTTAACATTATGGAAAAATAAGCAATGACATTGGCAGATCTTCTTAAAACTTGTGAATCTACTTTCTAACTGTGAAGTTATAAATATGTAAATATAAGAACAAAATGCAATATTAAGTGTGTGGGGTGAACACTCAAATGAATTATATCTTGAAGTACATATGGATAGAACAAATATTCCTCAATTCGATGGCAAGATACACTTTAACTTTCTGTTTTGAGGGATGATTAGTGTTGGGAGCAAAGCTCTCATCCCAGGTATTATTTGACAAATCTCCACGAAATTCTGCAGTATTTGCCAGCCTAGCCTGAATAAAAGAAAGAGGTGTTAAGCTTCAGCTGAAAGCCAATTACTGAGCTAGAGACAAAGGGATCTTTCTTGAGTGTTTAATAAACCTTCACCTTTCACAAACAAAACATTTGGCAGATAGGTAAAAAAAATCTCCATTTACACGGTGAAATTTCAAACAGATTTCTAATTTCAAACTTATTTTCTCAGCTGAGCTGAAAGATTGCATAAATAATTTAATGTGATATACTGTACAATATTCCAACAAAATATATCTACAAATACAGTAGTTTAGCTCATTTCATTTAAAAAAGCATCAGGATATTATTTTAATTTGATAAGAATTAGATATACTGTATATTATTTTTGTAGCTCTCTGTACTTGGGGGTTTTTATTTTCCTTCAACATCAATATTTTTATAAAAAAATTAAACAGCCATTGGATAGAAAAACCGTTTTAGTGGTAAGTCTCAGGTGCATGGAGAAACTTTCATTTGTATTATATTGAGAAAAATATCTTTAGGGTAAATACATAAGAGGCATGACTTAAATGGCGCATGATAAAAAAACAAAAGACCAGCCTATAAATGCCACAGCCTATAAAAGACACTACTTTTAGTACCCTGTTTTGCTTCTTGTAATAAACAAATGCCAGATTATTAAAAAAGGAAAATGGTGGAACAAAAACATAATTGTACTCTTTGGCAAATACACCTCTTATTCGGATTACTGTAAATATTCAAGTTTACATTCCCCAAAGGGGATTTTCACTACCCATTTTGATTCTTACAAACACATTGTAAACATTGGATGATAATTTACCCAGGGCTAGAAAAACAACTCTGAAATCACTCATGTGGAAAAACCAACAGCAACATGGCCCACATCTGGAGTACATACTGTATTTATCAAATGCCATTTTAGAAAATACCAAGAGAATGAACAAAATACCACAGATATAAAACAGATACAAAAAATTCAACCAAAGAATTTCACTACGAATAACAGCACACAAGAACTAAGCATACTTCAAGGTTTATAGAGTGTTTTAGTCACAATGAATTTGGCTTATCTCGCCTGGCTGAGGGTCAACCTCCTGGCCATATGACGAAGAGGCTAGGAAACCAATGTAGAGTGAGGAGTGACCAAGGGGCAACTGTAAAGGTGGAGATGGGGTGGAGGAGGCATTCAAAAGACATACTGTATACAGTACAAGAAAGAGAAAGGGATTACGTATAGTATTTATAATTTATTCTGTGAGGAAATTAAATTAGGAATGATTACAAATTACAGACAGTAATTTTGTTATAAACACCACATCTGAGGACACTGCACAAGTCACCATCTTTCTTAATCAAACCACTCTTTATGGCATCTTAGAATTTTATACCAACAAAGACCTGCAGCAGGGGAAAAGGAGCAAATGAGCAGGTTGGAAGAGCTACAGTATGAACTGCTACAGTGCTACACTAAAGTTACATGAAGGTTGGGGTTGGAGTCATGAACCATCAGAGGTAACTGTGTGGAGTTTCTGGAGTACACAAGTGGGGTTTTTTGAGAGCGATTTTAGAAGACCTGTTAAAATAAAGTTTCCTGCACCTTATCCTCTTACAGACCTTGTGAGTATTATGCCTGCACAGATTCCCAGTCACCTTACTAATGGTGGGGTTTGTTGCACAGAGGTAAAGGTCAGACATTAACAATTCTTTTGCCAAATGGTTGTCATCCCCAAGGGTATTCTAGATAGTCATGGTCTTGATCCTTCCTTTAAAAGTCAACAGTGGTATCATGTTAAGTTCCATTTATGCTCCATCATCAAATACCGTAGCTCTCAAATAACTCTGAAATAGCAAAATAATTTAAGAAACTTCAGATAAGATCCTATTACAAGATGACTTCAATGCCAGAGTAGAGATTGATGGAGTGGCCAAATAAAATAGCAACGACCAACTGTTTCTAGGGTTTGTGTTCCAAGCATTGCCTCTCGATTTCTTTCAGCTTTCTATTAAAAACAATCTGAATGCATCTTTGGTCAAAACATTGGCAGTTGATAGATTACATCACCATAAGATAAATCATTTTTAAAAGAGGCCGGCATCACAAGAGAGAAAAGAGGAGAATATAATGATACTGGTCATTGTCTTGTAAAGACAGATTATACTAAAGAAACTTAATAAAGGCAAATTTCAAACTGAAGAGTTTTGACTTTCAGTGCAACTGAACTTTACTGAATTTTACTGTATGTCTAAGAAACCTAAACCATGAAAGTAAAGACATAGAATTATGCTAGACAAGTTTAAAGAACACGATCTACAAGGTCTTGTTAAATGTTCTTGGTATTTCAAATAGAAAACAGAGGGAGAGGATTGATGTTAATCAAAGATTACTTTATAGTACAGGTATTCCTAAATATACAGTAAATACCTTCAAGTCTCATTTTTATGCCACATAATACAAAGTGATTTCTCAATAATTCTAATTCTATTTTTTTTGTTTTTCAGAAATTAAAGGTCCTGACTCTCTGTGGTCATTAAAAATCCCAGGGCGTTTCTCGAAAAGAGTAGGGATGTAACCCCGGCGTCCTGGCCAAATTTCCCATTGGCCCTTGCCAATCATGGCCTCCTGATAATCCCCATCTATGAATTGGCTTCATTACTCTGCTTTCTTCCCCACTGATAGCTGGTGTGTTGTGAGCTTTCTGGTGCACTATGGCTGCCGGGTGGATGCTGCACATTAGTGGTGGTGGAGGGGAGTCCCCATTACCTGTAAAGCGCTATGAGTGGAGTGTCCAGAAAAGCGCTATATAAGTGTAAGCAATTATTATTATTAATTAATTATTGCTTAGGTCATTTGCACATTTATTATCGGACCTGTAAAACATAACAAAATCAATGTGTGAAACATAATAATTGCTCTTCTATTGTGTTGTATTGAGTGTTGTGTTGTATTGTGTCAACTGGTAGTGATTAAGGAAATCTGTAAGGAAAGGTAAGATATCCAAAACACAATATTTCTGTCATCTTGCAACCATTATAGAATATCCTTGTGGCCCAGCTTTTGGATCAGGACCCACAGCTTGAGAAACTCTGCTTTAGTGAATGAGTTTCACTGCCTCTGAAATTGCTTTGATACCTCAGGGTTTTTCTCACAGTAGTTAAACATAGGTTGATATTAGAAAACAATAAAAAAATGCCTTTTTTTAATTGGTACAAATGAAGAAGGTATTATTTAATAAAGGATTTGCTTTCATCTGAGATTGAAAAGATGCTTTCTATAGCTACAGGTAATCAACTGTTTTAAAGCATAACTGAAATGAGCAATTATTTTTAGTGCTTTTCTTAACTTGGAAATCAGTAGTCTTCCTTAGGGAATGTAATAGAGATTTCATTTTGAAAAGGGTATTCATATGACTCCTTCTGAGCAAGAGCAATTTACCAACACTACCATAACTGTGTATGGGAAATTATCTTGTGATAAATTATGCATATACTGTACAGTGCATATACTGCTTATATATACATTAACTCTTTTAATGCTCATAAAAGTCAAACTAATGGCCAATAATGGCAACAGTGTAAAAAACATGATCTGGGCATTGTCGTGCAGGAACCTCCAGCATAATATGAATAAGATTATTTTCTTTTCTTTCTCCTGACTTTATTTTTAGTCTCTGTTGCTTATTCAATTTAATCTGAGTGAGTGTCTCCTTACATGTACAGCACAGTATATGAAGACATACACACGGCTCAGGTTTGTTCAAGTGGTCCTCTTATAGTTACAGGTGTCACCGTTTTTACTGAAAGCCAAGAGATCCCAACCCAAGAGCTCTCCCATGTTGAACCTATTATGTGCTGCTGCTTGGAATGGCTCATGATGTGAAACATCTGGATCATAGAGCTCATATTGCCCTTAAAGTGAGCCTGGGTCATATCGCTAGACAGCTGCTGAATAACACAAGTGGCTGAGACTTTATTTTTTCTACAGGACATGTTTTTTGAAAAAGAAATCAACGAGCCACTTAATATTTAATTTCTGGAAATGGTAAGAAAGCAAATGCAATTCAAACACACATAGAACAGCATTCTTGATCAAAATACATGCTATTCTTACAGCCCACATGCATGGGCCCACCACTGCAAAGCAAAATAACAAATAAGCATCTTTATGCAAAAACTGCTCTTGAGCTGGCCCCTTACACCAAAAACATATGGGTATCAGATTAAGGACTTCACCCACACCTATTGAATCTTTCTAACAAACCTGTGTTGTGGTTTGCTAGAAACCAGTCCACTTGTGGGACTATGTTCTCATTTAGTCTTAAATGTAAAGTGATGCTGTTTAATACATTTAAAAAGTGAAGTCTTTGTTGCATGACTTTTTCATGATTTGATTTTACGTTTTCCATAAATGGTAATTAGATTCAGTAATTCAGATGTTATTATGTTTTATTATGTTATTATGTTTTATGCTAAGCAGATTACAATATTTCTATAATGAATAGAGTCTCTGCCTTACAATCAGAGACAAAATGTTACAGTGGACAACAAAGTGAGGCTGTGATGCTGAACCACAGTCTCATCAGAGCACAAATACAGTGTTTTATCATTTCTAACAATGATGTGAAGGCTAAATGAGTAGACGTTCATAACTATATTTATGACTGAGTTAATAACAGTTAAGATAATGTGTATTCATTATTTATTAAAGATTAATAAAGGATTACTAAAGAACTTATAACAGAATACTTCTAGCTTTTTTTATAGCCCCCAACTATACTTAACAATTGTGAATTAACAATTATGAAATGGTTGAAGTTGTTTAATAAGGGGTTTAATGGCTGAATTTACACAGAATACAGTTAGTTCTTAATGAGGACATGTTCAAAGCTGCAGCATATACACTATGAGTAGACAGTTTCCAAACACTATATATTTTACTGTAGGGGACTGCTGGTTCATGTTTTAGTTTTTGTTTCTAATTAAACACTGCACAGTTAAAACTTATTTGTTTTTTCTGGTGTTTCCCTTTTCAATGACTATCTGCCAGTGAAAGCTATAAGCACTCTTTGAATCATCAAGGTGTGTGGACTGACTGAGGCAGTATATAAAGATAAATAAATTCACTATTTGTTTTAGCAGGTTTCCTATTGTGCTGATCCATTTAATTTAAAATGCTCATTTAGAGAACAATTTGAATGATTCATACAGAGTGTGTAAATTCAGCAAATGTTTTAATTTGTTTTTGAAGGTGAGAGAGTTACTGTAGGAGCTTGCATGTTTATAGGATATTAATGGGTATTTTTCTCTATATTATGTTATTGCTTTTGAAAAGACATTGCTATAAAACAATTTCTCTAAGTGACAGTACAATATAATAGTTTTCTATATATAAATGGTGCTAGTAAAAACCCCAGCAAAACTTACCTCCCTGCGGAAAGAACTGAGAATATATCTCTTTAAAGGTTTCTTCATTGACCACCCCACTAGGACATTCCTGGAAAAAAAAGAAAAATACATTTCACTTAGACCTGAAAATGTCAAAAATATTCTCTCCCAGAGAACTCTGAACATCTAGCTGATAACTCAACCTTTGACATTGCAGTATTTGTCATTTCTGAACAAAGCATATTTGCCTGTGCAAGGCACAGTTTCTAAATTCAGCAGGAGACATACTGTATCTGGGGAAATAATATAATATTAATAGTCTTTTCTTTTTGTTTTGTGTGGGCTTAGTATGACACTGCCTGTGAAGAGTAGTGTAGTCATACTAAGGAATTATTTTTTTTTTCCTGAAGGAATAATCATTTGAATCTGCAAAGATTATATATCCACAATAAAGAAGAATGATCATGAAACACATTTAATAAGGTCTCAAGGGCACAAAATTCTGAATAATCATCTCATCAGAGCTCTGAAATGGCTAGTGTTTGGCTTGGAAATGATTTCATGTTATTCTTGAGGGTAAGCAGAATGTTAAAAAGAGGCTGAGCAGAATGTTGAAAAGAGACCACATTAAACTTTACATTAAAACATTTATTTTTTAGCTTTTAAAACATGGAGACCTTTCTGCAAGTGTACAAATAAAAACACTAGCCAGCTGATGGCAAGAAAACAAAAAAAAATAATACAGCTAAAATATATTCAGGAGTGATCAGCTATGCCTTCTGAAGTATTGTGTTTCTACTTTCTAGGTGACTTAGGTGACCCAGAAGACACTGGTTGGAGGTATAGCTTGATTTATAAACCTCAGTAAAAAAAAATGCATAAAACACGTTGTATACAAATAAAAATTGATCAGTCTTTCTGCACCCACCCGTTATTCAGACCATTTCAGTCACCCGTCATTGGACATCACCAAATTCTGCATATCATTACCTGCTGCAGGTTTCCAACATGATTTACAAACAATATCAATATACCTCTTATTGTTTTAAAAATACCTAATAAAATGACTTATGAGTATCAAAACTCCCCCCACAAACATTTCTACTTTTGAAGAAATGTAACCAACCAGACCTCTGCAGAAGGGAGCAAAAACTTAATTTTTAAATGTTACAGAAAAAACACTGTCATTCCTACTTGTGTCTTTTAGAAAACAAGATAGAAAAAATCACTTAGAGACAATTAGGCAGAAATTATGGTGTAAACTCTTAATAAAGGAGTTGAGGAAACTTTGCGTAAACATCCACATGGTGATTTTGTTGAAACAATGTACTTTACGTGATGTAGAAAGATTTTGAAACCAAGAACTAAGCAAGAAACAAGTAAATGTCTCAAGACAGCAGGTCAGTTAAAGGCATCAATTAGGGTAAGCAAATAAAATCACAGTTAGAATGTCAGTTTAAAAGTACTGTATACAGTAGTTTAAGTAATTGAAATAAATCCTAAAATGCAATGCAGATAATCATTTTCAATTTCCTTATTACTTTTGTAGATGCTGTTCTGAAACACAATTCACACTCTTTTTCTACAACAACAAAAAAAAAATAACATTGGGGTTTATAAATATTGATGAAAATAATGTCTCTTGATTTTAAAGTATATTAGATTGAAGATGCAAAGGAACAAGTAAAGGGTTATTCAAGGTGAACTGAAGGCAAGACCTGAAGAAGGCTCCAAAGCCAAAACATTTTTTTCCTTCTCGTTTCAGCATTGAATTAATCTTTGCTTGTTCCTTTGCAGCCTACGCATGCTGACACAGCTACCTACTTGAACTTCTTAGATTGAAGATGTCCCAAATTATTACCAAAATGCATTGATTGTATATGCTTCATCATATGAAAGGAAAAAAATGCATCATAAAATGCATTATACTTATCCACAATCGTTTTTAATTTATGCTAGAACAGCAAAAAATATATATAACCATGCTTAGCTTCAGTAATGAAGATTGCCTGGTTGTTATAGTATTAGCATGATTGAAAGTGACCTGTATGTAAGAAAAGGTGATTGAGAACAAGACATTTTACTTTAACAATCAGCAGAGAAACTATGAGAGTGGCTCTGCGTTTTGTTCTTGATAAAAGCTATTTTGCCCTTGATAGATCTGAAAGAACACATTGGGTGTTAAAATTTTGCGGCAAATATTATGCTGAATATTGCATTTTTCAAGCCAAAAAAGTTTGAATGATGGAAGTGTGATGATGTTTGAAGGAATCTTCTTTAATACAAGATTTTACACATTTGGTGCCGACTGAGTGCAACACTACTGATAAGCAGACACCTCAGCAGAGTCCTTGAACTTTTTTTTCATGATTTTCTAGCAGGAAAATGCAAGACCAAACAGTACACTACTAAAAATACATTGACAGGCTTTAACACCACTCTTGAATGGCAAAGTCTTGGTGGGGAAGCATAAAAAGTGTGGTCAGAATGATTGTATACTGTATACAGTATACATACATTGAATATACATATTTCAAATTACAGTATTAAAATCAAGGAAAGCTGTGTTAAAATTATACAGTGTACTAGCAAAACCTCATATTGTTTAGTTTTGTTTACCATGTTAATAGTACACTGGAATCAGTCTGGAGAATAACTACCACATAAATTTAAATGAACAGAGAAAAATATTGTGAGACATGTTTCAAGCATTTGCATTCCTCATATGCATTGATAAAATCTGCACTGCACAACGGACTTCTTTAGAATCAAATGTGAAACACAAACCAAATAATACAAGTAGAAGTGTGTTTAAAATGGAAAGTCTTGACATTTTCTCAACGTTTGAGGGAGCTGGGAACCAGCTACTGTACGGTCTCCAAGCTTACACTCTGGTTTCTTTCAGGAAATGGTTGTATGAGATCAATTAGTGACTAGCAATCAAGTAGATCACATGGGTCCAGTGGCCTTCTTTTATTTATATCCTGCCTTATATTGCCATAGCCAGCTTTTTCTTCTGACTTGACTTGTGTTGAACATCAATGAAAACAACCCTCCAATGCCATCAACAGGAGACTGACCAGTTTTCTTCATCTGGCAGGCAGAGGCACAGGCAGAGACAGAGGTGGAGCAATCCACAGAAATCTGTCCAGACTCTATTCAGGTCTGTGAGTCAGGATTGTGCTCATCTCTGTTGTGACAACAAGGTTGTGTATTTGATCTGCTGTATGTTTGTTTGCTGTTTATTTAAAATATTTTAATAAATCTATCAGTACAGTACATCTACAATTGATGAAAGAAATTGTAGGGGGGGGGGGGACAGATAGAGAAGTACTTTATGATCTTAGTAAGATCTAACCTTCCTTCTGAACATCTGCTATAAACTCTGTTTTGAGTTGCTATACTGCAGCAGTAGCAGATGTGAAAGGACTGTTAGGGGACTCCTTACACATTTTTCTGGGTCTGGTGTAAACTTTCCAGCTGTACTTAAAGGAAAAAATTAATGAGATCACTTTTGACAAACTAATTGCAAAGACATTTTTAAAAGGTACAGTAGATGCCAACTAATGCAAATCTAAACAAATTGAATAAGATCCAAAAGAGATATGAATGCAGAGATATGAATATTTAGGCGTGATGTACTGTCTTAAAAACAGACAACAAAATCAGTAGTTAAAAATTACCTGTTGCATTAAAATAGAACAGGAACTGTCAAAAGGATGTTTTATTAATGTTTCCTTGCAAATGATTAATTTGGCTTATTAAAGTATTTTTACAGTCTGAAAAGTCTATCTAAAGTTTTGCAGGTGTAGCGGCGAGGCTTAATAATAAGGCAGAATTAAGTGTTTCTGAGCTTTCCCAAATTAGGCCTCATTTCTCTGTTCATCTCTGTGGTGCAGCCACAGAGAAACCATTCATGCAAGGTGATTTAATGTCCAAGGACAGCTCCCAAAGGGGGATGCACTTAGCTAAGCCTGGCTATCATGATCAATGGTCATCCATTGGCGCCTATCTGTCTAGGGAGTGCCAGTTGGACATCTGGACTGCATTACTAAGTGTCAGGAGTAAGTGACTCATATCTCACCTTGATCAACCAATCAGGGATTGGTAGGGCCGAGTAACCCACGTGGGACTCTGATGCCCATGGAACTTTCAGCCAATCAATGAGCTAAAGTTCCTCCAGGTAAAAACAGGCAACACAGAGAGCCTGAGAGATTCAACAAGATTCAGATTCAGATTCAACAAGATTCTGTGGACAATTCTAAAGGGAATTCAAAGGAGAATTCCAGGGCAGGACGGCCCAGGAGCAGAAGGCTCCCAAGGGCAGGACATTCTTGCAGCGCGCCTCCTGACCATCCTGAGACTCAGCCCGGACAACCACGGAACGGCCAGTGTGTCCGAGTGCCAGAACTTTCCTTTGTTCTAAGAGTCTAGAGTGGAGGTTGCCAGAGAGTAACCAGCAGCAGGCCTCGTGAACAGGTCGGAACTGTGGACAGCTGAATCACTATTCAGAACTAGCTCTTCATCAGGAACGAACCGGTCCTCTTCCTGACTTGCTGGGACCCACAGTCATCTTTTCTCCTGTGCACAAACTTAACTAGCAGGCCAGTGAGCATCAGCAGCACACTGTTGCAAGCCGCACAGCACAGCCTGGCACCGAGCCAGAGAGCGCGGATTGGACAGCAACAGCCTGCAACTGTTTCTTTGTGCCCGCAGGAGATCTGAATCCCCAGAGATTGGATGAGTATTCAACTTCAATGCATTACAGCTCGAGAATTCAATTGTTATCCCAACCAGTTGATATCAATTTAATTCCTAAGAGTTATGTACTTGTTTCGAGTATCTAATGTAGAAGTTATAACCAAGTTCATTTACGAAACGGTCTAAATGAATGATATACTGAACGTATGTCCTCTTGATATATGTAACACTTTGTAACTGATTGAATATATACCTTTTGTATTCTGATAACCCTCTCAATAAGATCTGTTAGGTTTACATGCATATTCTATGTATTAATAAATGTATCCTCGTGTATCAGTACCTGTGTGTGCGCGTTGTTTGAGTTATGTCGCATGGTTGGACTCTAAAGCCATCAAAAGAATCAAC